TAATAAACGCCTTCATTTACAAATTTCATTTTGTGTTTACTTGTGTTGTCCTCGACCATTTTTTAAATTGGATTGATGTTCCGAAACACTTAAGTGTGACAAATATGCAAAAATACAGGAAATGAGGAAGGGGGCAAACACTTTTTCACACCACTATAACTGTGAAACATGGTGGCAAAATAAGAATAAGACCTACCAACAAGGAAACATTTAACAGTCACAACAGAACAGTTTGGATCAGTGAGCCCAAGTTAGTTTTATACACATTTAATACTTTTAAAGAAAGCACAGACAGCTTGTAAAACAATAGCTTCTCAAGTCAGAGTTCAGATATAAAACACTTTAACATTGCCTCCTAGATGTTCTCCGTTCAAGACTGAATCATTTTGCAGCACCAATTGGACAAGAAAATAAAATAAATAAGTTCCTCGGTGTGCAAAGCTGGTAGAAAAACAGGTAAGACGTGTGCTGTAGTTGGAGTCAGTGACTCCAAAAACGTACCGACCCAGAGAGAGGCTGAGTGCAAATCCAAGCAACACTTCTCAGCTTTAACATCTAAAAACCACATTTTTTTTTCCAATGATGAAATTTCAACATTTTAATCCCAATTAAATCAGTTCAACATAATAATGTTAACATGACTAGCTTTGGAAAAGTTCAAGAGGAAAGGCAGCATGCTAATGCTTTAGCTGACAGAGTAACTTGACAAAATTAACCACCTAAAACTTTCAGGTTTTCATAATGTATGCCAGCAACTGCAGAATCTATTAAGGAGTGGGCGGTAAGCCAATCCTTTCCAAGTGAAATCGTTTGATTTTTATTTTTCTATTCCATTATATTATGCTTTTTTTCTTACCAAGTGTAGAGAGATTACATATTATACTGCATCTGATTTTCCTGGCTTGGAATAAACGATAAAGCCATTTTTATGTCGTCATCAGAAATGCAAATATTTCCCCATGAAGCATTCCAACAGGATGTGGTCAAAGTATGCAACACTAAAGAATTATTTGCTTTGCAAAAATAAACCTAAAGCAACCTGACTGAATGAAAACTTGACGGACACAAAAGCGATTTTCAGAACAGAATCGACTATTCAACCCAAGATGCACCGAGAGAGCGACTGCTAACCTTACAGGGAAGAAACCTCTGTCCGACAGGAGGCCGTGAACTTCTGCCTGATGGACCACGGTCTGACCAGGCATCTAAGAAAAGAGCAAAAAAATACAGAATAATAATTCATTATGTCTCTGGAGTCAAGTTTGGATTCAGATGGAAAACCAGTTTTAAAGTTTGAGGCTGAATCTCTTAAGACACAAAATTCCAGTTTCCCAGCCCTTCCTGTAGTCATGCATCATTTCTTTCAATTTACAAATGGACCTGAAATTAGATCATCATGGAAATGGTTGTTTATTTCTAATTGTAACCTCAGATTAACAAGAGATTTTTTTCCTTTTCCTCCATTTTACCCGTTTAAGATCTTCATAAAAATCATTATTTCAGGAGTGGCTCAATACAACTTGGCGCTGAAAACATCTGTGTGGGAGTTCCTGAAGCACCGACTCCAGCTACAGTTCAAGTCTATTTAGTCTACTTTACCCGTTTTTAAGAGTTAATATTAAAAACAAAATCATTTTGTACATGGGTTTTCTAGACAGGCTAATTTGCAAACCCAGTCTTTGACTGGAGCCTTTAAAAAAACAGACAGCAAAAATAAAACTAAAGATTCCCATCACACACACACACACAATCCCTGTCATTTAACATGCGTGAAAACAAACATTAGAGAACTAATTCTCCACAACAAAGTAGTGTGGTATAAATCAGTGTCACATTTGTTTTAGCAAATATTTCACCTGGGAATTTTAAAAAATCTGATCCATTAACATTTTCATCCCTCTTGCTTGTGCACATTTCCTGATCCACACTTTTTCCTTCCACTCAATTTAACATGCCTGGACAAAGCACTCTGAACCACCAGCTTCTTTAACACTGAAATATATAATTTTTCCCTTCTTCAGGATATCTTGCTGCATGAGGGACAAATGCCAAGTCAGCATTCTTCTCTGAATGCATAAGCCAGACTACATCATTTTTCTTTATTTGTTTCACTGATCTTATACAATACTGATTTTCATTAACTGCAAGCAACTCATCTACTCCAACAGAAAAAAAATAAATGAAAATCGACAATTTATGAATTAATTCGAGACCGACAGACGTGTTTCTTACACGTTCGCAGCCATCCGGGGGAGCAACGTGGACGTCTGGATCTGAGGAAAGCTTCTGCAGCCTGCAGGGAGCCTTCCTGTCCTCAGAGGAGGGAGCAGGTGGGGCTGCTGAGGGATTCAACAAAGATTCAGGCAGAGCAAAGACAAAACAGCCCAGCGCGGCCATCTGTTGACCCAAAGGTCACGTAGCTCAGCATAGCACCTCAAAGTACACAGAGTTATTACAAATTAACTTTAACGTTTGTGTTCAAAACAACCCTCAGACTAGCTCAGCTTTTGGTTTCTAGGTTTTGGGACAAGTACCAACAAGGTAGCTTTTCTTTTTTTTTTCCTCTTAGAAAGACAGTAGAGGTAAAATGTGTGAGCGGCAGCCAAAAACAGTTACTGCAGTAAATATCTGAAACGGGTCCAAGACAGCAGGGTGGGGCGGGCCGTTTGGGTTAGTCATACTCTGATCACATATGTGGAGGGGAAACAAGGAGGGGGATGAAAACTGGAATGATTTCACTTGATTCATTTTGTTTGCTTTGATAAAAACATCCTCATAAATCCTTAGCGGATGAGTAACAGCTAAGCCTGATGCCTCAACGCTTCAGGACACAAACATGTAACCCAGAGATTTTCTGGTCAGATTTTTATGTTTTTGGCCCGATACTGAAATAAAGATTTTTTTTAGCTTTATATTCCCTTATCAAAAACATACCTGGAGCGTCATTTTGATCCATTTACACATTCATTTCATTTTTCATGGTAGCCGTTCAGGGTTGCTCATAAAATGCACCACCCATTTTCCCAAAACTCCACCTTTGAGCTTCAGTCTCCAGCTGAGCCCCTTCAGACTAGCGGCAGCAGCAATTAGCAAAAACCAGGTGGAGCTGCAGGTCTGCTGAGCTCATCATACAAACTACAGCACTCCTAAGAACGGCTGTAACGGCATGACGAGAAGCTTTGCTGTGATGACCTGCTGAAGGTGGGGCGTCAGAAAGTGTGCAGGGTTCTTAAAGAGACAGAGGCTAATTTCAAGGTATCATATGGCTGTCGTATGAAGTCAAGTTTATCTTCTGGGCGTCTTCACACCAATAAAAGTGGTAGACTCAGTCCAATATGGGACAACGGTTGTAATATTTGTTACATTTCAGCTAGTTAATTTGACACTGCACTGTGTCAAATTAACCTTTGAAAAGTCTATTCCCCTCCTCACCTGTGGTGGCGCTGCACCAAGAACTACTGAACAAAACGACAACTTCCTTCTTCACAAAATGTACAGTGGACAGGAGTCAGATTTTTGCGTTTGTAGGATTTTTCTTAGAGTTCACCTCCACTGAAACACCACCCAGAAAACATTTCCTGATGCATGATGCATTTCCTGATTCCATCTCCACAGCATTTTACTGTTAAAAATACAAAAACAAGTATATTAAGCATAAACAAACGATTCCTAATGAGATTATTTACCTCTCATGTAGTCACCCAGCTTCTCTTTAAACCCACTGCGGTGCCAAGCAATATAGTTGGAGTAAGCTGGACTGAAGGCGCTGGAATGACAGCCGTCAGAAGCACGAGAAAACCTCTGCAGGTCACTATAATCCACATTTGGGGAAAGCAGAGATGTAGAGTCTTTATCTGAGTCTTTACCTCCTGGAAGGTGGAGCTGCTGGTAGTATCTGAACAGCTGAGGCAGGTAGTAGTGGTAGTAATAGTAGTAAGGGAACGTCAGTCTGCTAGAAATGTCGTACCCTGGTTCAGAGGGAGGAGGACTGGTTTGATATCTCAAGTGGGAAGGTTGTTGTACCGACAAGGAATCTGACAAAGCTCGACCCAGATGGTTGTAGACGCCACGCAACGCTTCTGGTGCGTAATACTTCAGGTAGTAGTTATAGTATGGATGGTAGTAGTACTTGTAGGGATCTGCGTTATACGTGAATCCTGCAGTGGGGAACACTGGTTTGTCAGGAGGAACTGCGATGGGATCTGGTCTTTCTGGGGCTGGAGACACGGAGGTAGAACGTTTGTCGTCTTTGTCTTCTAGCTTTGGTTTCGAACTGGGCCGAACATCTGCTTTTTCCTTTTCTGGCTCTGGATTAATACTCTGCGTTTCAGGATTTAAGGATAATGAAGACGCGTTTGTCTTTGCAGTCCAATCTAGATGGGAAAGCCCCAGTCTTTTCATGTCACCCTTTACAACATGTGGGTAGTAATAGTAGAAAGGAAAGCGATGAGTAAAGTAAGGTGAGTGAACTGCTGTCACTTTGTTCGTCCTTTGGGCGTCTACAGGTGAAGAAATCCAGGTTGGTCCCCCTTTCAGACCCTCAAGCTGCTCGGATGGAGGTTGATGGTTTGGAGAATCGGAAGAGGTTTGTGATCCAGGAAGACCCGGACCTGGGCCCTGAGGTGTGCCTGGAGCAGGGATCTTTGGGTGATGGTGGTAGTGGTAATGGGAGCTAAAATCATGGCTGGGATGGTGGGAATGAGGAGCTTCCACCTGAACCGGCAGAGCTGTAGGGGAGAAACTATTCATTGAGACATCCAAGAGAGGAGCAACTTGGTTCTGCTTTTGGTCTTTATGTAATGAACCCAAACTAGACAACTTTTCTTTAGATGAAAGGGGCTTTTGGGTCATAAAGTTTTCCTGTACATCTTTAAGAGACAGGAAGTAATGGTCTTGCGAGTTCAGCTGGGAACTAAAGTCAGCCATCGGAGCCACAGAAAGAGGAGTAGGAGGGCTGTGGGTGTCCTGTTCTTTATTTTCAGAGTAACTATGGTGATATGTTGGGTGAGGATAGTAAGGTGGAGCCAAGTAGAAAGGCGGCATAAACGCTAAATGCCTGAGGGACTCGAGCTTTGGTTTTGGTAGCTTTCTGGTGAAATCCGTGGGGCTGTCAGCCAGAGGCCAATGGGCGGCTGAGACTTCTCCAAAAGCAGAGTTAGGACAAGCCAACATGAAGATCTCCTCCCCTAATTTAAGCAGAAGTGTGTTTTTTCCATCCTGAAAGAGAATTTATTGCAGGTTCAAAAAATAAAGATGGTTCAATTTTGTCGCAAAGCAACAATTATTCCTGCTACTGCCAAATTACCACAGTACTTTAGTTAATCCTTTGAGTTTTGACATGCTGCAAATATTTTTTGCACACATTCAAAAAATTAATACCGCCACCTCCAGGTGGGAGCTAGTCACTTAAATCCAATGCTTGACTATTTTACAGTTATTATATTATACCTTTACAGTTATACCACAAGTGATGAACGGCATGGCGACGGCCGTCTCTGCAGCCAGTCTGTTCACAGTGTAACCACACTGTTCAGCCAACAGCCCCAGAGGAGTCCATTCACCCCGAACTGTAGTGGGGCAGAAGCGTAACCTGATATTAAAATAAAAGATCTCTTTTTTTGAGTGCTTCCTGATTCTTAAAGAAATGGTACCGTTTATATGCGGGTTCTCCACAGCAGACGGTCCTCTGAGTTTCACCGTCATGCCGTTGGGGGAGCAGCAGAGTGAGGACGGCCCCTCGCCTCCAAGGTGGAGCCGGGAGACCGGGCAGGAGACCTTGACGGGAATCCCCCTCCACAGCAGAGGCAACACATAGCAATCATCCTGAGGGGAAGCATTTTAATAATATGTCCAAAAACAGGATTTTACACACTTTGGAGAAGAATCTAGCTAGTCAATGCATCAGAGAAAGTCTCCACCACACCTCTGAGTCATTTCAGCTAAAAACGGTGAAGTCAAAGTTTTGGTTTAATAACTATAAACTAGATGATTATGTGATTCGTGTAGTAATTAAAAAACAGCAGCACACCTCTCGAACGACGTGGCAGGCGTCATACTGAGCCGTCAGAGTGAGGTCTTTCCAGGAGCTTTGAACAGAGTAGCCACACTGCTGAGGCAGATGGAGCAGGGGCGTCGATGAGCCGTTCACTGAAACACAGTGGAAATAAATGACGGACAAAGTTTACAGTTTTTCTGGACTGCTTTCGGTCAGCTGTTGACTCAAACTACACATTTTCAAAATGTTACAGAAGCCTCATCATGGTAAGACCATGATGAGTCCAACTGTGGCAAAACATTTAAAATAAGCAAAAAACAAACATTACCATAAAACACAGCTTGCAACCAAGTGGATGAGCCATTCAATAACTGCATGATGGACAACAACAGAGTCCTCAGCTCGTCATTGTAGTCCATTATATTGCTTTCATGCCAGTGCCATGTCATCTTACTACATGGGTTGTGTTAATGTTCGTTCTCAAAGAATTTGATCCAGAATCAGAAATGCTTTGATGCACAATTTTGATTCAAAGACTATTTTATCTAAACTGGATAAAAACTGTAAACATTAGATAAAATACTATAAATATAAACCAAAATAAAAATCTAATTAAAGAATCAGAAATGCCCAGTAATGACTCATCTTTCTTGATCTCTTCATAGATTGTGGTGAACGACAACATAGATGTTTTAAGGCCTGCAGACTGATCGCTGTAGTTGAAGGAGTGTGAAGGAGGTGATTTCATACTGATGTGTTTTTAATAGCCAACAGGTGATTTTGGTTTGGTTTTCTTGGTTAAACCAGTGAAGCATGAAGTGCTTCACTGCTGACATCCGTCTTAACCGTTTTGAAAAATACCAATGAGACAGATGATGAACGGAGTCGACCCCAGTTTCTCAAGCAGGTCGAAGCAATCAAGAAAAACTACAATCTAAGTGCGTACGGGTAAGGTCAACTTTCTAGTTACTATTCTGGTTTCCCAAACTGGGAATGTGATCATTCATGCAACCAGGGAATCCTGTTTAAGAACACATTTGGTTAACAAAGCAGTTTCAGGCAACAGCTCTATCCAAATGCAGTAAATTGGGAACCAACATTTCTGGCACAGTTCAGCAGTATTACAACGCTTCGTTGGGATGTTGACAAAGACCTTCAAAGCCTTGGAAACAGAGTAATCCATACTCATCTACAAACCCTCCCCACGTTCCAGCATCGTGGAAATACAGCTGCAAAAACCAAAGTGAATATATTTTATTCCAAGTTAAGATCTAGACAGCATCAAGCAGAGGACAAATCTTTGAAACAAAGAAAGGCCTTAATATTCCTACCCAACTTCATCCTTTTACTCAATGTTCAACATGCACTGACAAAGAGAGAAAATAACCAAACATTTGTCCAATGACACTCAATAGGTTCCACCTCAAGCACAAAAAGTGTAAATTATTGGAGAGCTGGAACGTTTTCATCCTCTGTACATTCAGTACCAAACGTAATGAATTAAATAATTTCCTCAGCGGCTCAATTTCACTTCAGAGCTCACCAACGTCCTGCTTTGGAGCAGAGCCAGGTGAATACAGGTCATCTCCATAAAGGTGTGTCGGCACTTTAGCTGTAGATTTATTTCTTCTAATGTTAATGTTTGACATCAAATATCCTGGTAAAGAAAAACTATCATAACTTATTGGTAACAATTTGTCAGCCCCTTATAGAAATAATCCACTTTTACCTCCTTAATGCCTAAATGGTTTAGCCAGACAGAAAGACGAGGTTAAACAGACGTTTTCACCTCATTTTTAACTAACAAAACACTGAGAGATCCTAAGAAAGCAGGAGCAGAGCTCAGGTTATGCTGCCCCCCAGTGGCAGCTACTTCCTTACCCCCCCCAATCAGGCATTTGTTGTTTTCATCAAAATCAGTGAACTAATTTTTTAGCAAAATACTGAAAGATCTATGGATCTGAAGTTGTATGTCTTTCTTTAGGATAGAAATGCACCACAAACCTATGACAGAAACTTTCCAGAAGAATGACTATTTCTGAGTTATTATCACTGGGTAATGAGTCATCTGACAGTTTTGATTGCGTCTCTTTGAATGGTTTAAAGAGATGTTTCCATCTCAACCTTACACAGACAGACATAAACATGCAGTGAATAAATTGATTTTCAATCAGATTTTTGCACCAAAGAGTTAAGAGCACACACTGAGGCTCTTTAAATGTGTATTAAGAGGGAATGCAAAACTTATTGCGGGGGAACACAAAAGAAAAATGTTTCCCTGTAGATCTGATGCTTGTTTGTGATTTTTTTTTTCTTTTTTTAAATATTAGTGTCAAGATACAGTGAGAAATTATTTACACAGCTTTCCAGATGAGCAGACCGAATGCTGCAGCTCTCAAACTGTTTTCCTCAACGTCTCCTCTTTCCAACTGGACTTCTTGCATTAAGTCTGGGAGAATGAAACGGAACGTATTAAAGATGAGGGACAGGATGAAGATCGAGCCTCACCGTGGTCCAGCAGCAGCTGTGCGGCTCGTTTCCTCCTCACAGTCAGGGTCATGGCGTCATCTCCACACTCCACCGACGGCTCCAGCTTACGCCAGCTCTCCTCAGAGCCACCAGCATGCTGACTGGCGCCGCTCGCCCGGCTGTCCTGAGTCTGGACTGGGATACACAAAACATCTGAACATGTCTGGGGTGGAAAGGGAATGCAACTGTGTCTCCTAATTGGACCGTTAAGAAAAGTTATGCAATCATGAAACAAGAGAGGTTAGCAGACATGAAGGAGCGCGTTGGGCCTGACGGACAAGCAACATGGCGGCTAATCACAGTCAGCTGTGTTGGAAATTTAGAGTAAAGTACAAACAAAAAGGAGAGGCTGCAGAAGCAAACATACAAGACGGACAGAGTGTCCCAATGCGCCTTAAACTAGAAAAATGCAACTGAAAGACAAATACATTGAGACAAGTCGTTTGGTGGCAACATGTGGAAAAACCTAAACACAAACCAGGTTTAACAACTTAAAAACAAAACCAGCCAAGTTTTCAATCTTAAATAGAGAACACAGTGTTTGCTGGGATGAAAACAGTTTATGGTGTCATTAGTCATAGGCACAATAATAATACTACAATAGAAACACCTGGAGATTAGGGTTATCAAAAAGGTAATAAAAAATCAACAATTATAATTATAATCACACTAAATATGAACAGATGTTTTCAAGTTTCAAACTTGGCGAAGCTGGCAAGTACAGACAAGAACTAGCATTTGGTGAAATAGCTTTAAAAATCTTAAATCTTTTTTTTTTTTCTTTTTTTGGGACAACTGAAGACAAAGTATTTTCAAAAAGTTGCGTTCATTTCACTCTTTTCTTCTGAAATAAATACTGAAGCAACAAAATGACCAGCAGGTTTTTTTTGTTGTTTTTTTTTTGTTATTTTAAACCTGATCAAACACGGAAACTGATTAAAGCAAAATTTATACTTTCGGTACCGTCAGAAACCCATATTTAAGCCCGATTCATGCTAATGGTGTGTTCCCAATGATTACACTTCAATGCCGCATACAAGCCTAACAAATCTACTTAATAGGCGTTTTTTTTAAAAAAAAAAAAACATTGCATGTAGTAGAAGAAGCCAGGTCTCTCACCTGTAGCAGCAGAATCTGACCGGTAGCCTCCATGTCGGGGGTTTGCTTCCAGCTGACCGGTGACGTAAAACTTCCCGGGAACTACACGTCTGATGGTTCCCCTGCTGCAGCTCCCATCCAGAACCTCGTGAGAAGTAAACGGCCTTTCTCCCTCCGTTTGCGAGCGTTTGTAGCGGGGTGCTAAACTTGAAGACGACGCCATTTTGGCTCCAATTCCCCGCTTTGACCCGGGTCCGGGGAGCCTCGTCGTTGTCCGGTCATCGTCTTCAAGGTTCTGGCGCCTTGGGCCGCTGAAGTAGGCCAAGTGCCTGGCCGCTCTGGTGGAGGGGTCGCCGGGGACTCTGGTCGTTAAAACACCGCTCCCGACATTGTGAGGAGCCGACCGAGAGGTTGGCTGGAGGGAGTGAGCTGTGAGCTCACACCGGACTAAAGAAGACAGGTTTATTGTCGATAAGGTGTATAAAAGTGGAACACCCAAGCAGTACCCTTTTAGTTTCAAATACATTGCAGATACTATTTGTTTTCTCTCTATGCACCAAAACACTGGGACCGAGGGACGAGCGGCTGTCTGATTTGTAGACATCCTGCTAACACACCTGCTCACTAATTGGCACAAATTGATGACGCATGCTCACTGGGCTCTAGACTACAACTCCGTCTGCTGTCGTTGTTTATGTCAGATTTTACTTTATTACACAAGTGCATCCCAATAAATATAGACATAATGAAAAGAGCAATTTATTTAACAGATTCTTCACACACAGTGTTACATTTTAAACGTTCATTTCTGTCCATTTTGCTTATTGTGGTCCCCAATTAACAAAATCTTCAAATTCAGTTTTACAGATAATTAGAGTATTAGAGAATACTAATAAAAATAAATAAATTTAAGCTTGCAATATATTATGTTATGGCCTGGACTCCCGGCATAAGGAGGGTGAGCTGCCAAAGTCCATTAATAAAGAGGCTGGCTGTTCCTAAAGCTGTATCCAAGCATAATAATAAAAAGTTGGTTGCTGAGGGAAAAGGTTTTAAATGGCACCGCTATAAGGTAATAAATCTCAAAGCAACATTCACATTTGAGAACTTTATTACGCACATAAACTCAGACTGGCATCTTAAAGAACTATTTACTGACAAAAGAGTAAAGCAATAATCTACACTGCTGTTTACAGTATTGCAACCAGAAACTTCAGTAACTTTAGATATTTTTATAGAGCAACAATAAATACTGCACACATGATTTTCAGAACTTCTTTTTATAAATAAAAATCTCAAAAGCTTGATGGAAATTTAGTTATTTTAACCAATAATTTTTTTTCTGACTTGAAGTGACACAACTGGGTTAAAAATCAAATATTAAAAATTACTATATTTTTTTATACCTCAATATTTATTGGATCTTTTAGAAAATGTTAATTATTTCCAGTATTGTGCAGCCGTACATGACCTCATCAGCGAACACCTTCTTTCACTAGAGGGCGACAGTGCGCCACATTAGATTACTGACATTACGACAGTGAAGGGATTCTTGTAAATTGACCTTTGCCCTTCATATAAATAATTCCCATCGCTTTTCAGACTAAGCCAGAAAATTATTTCCAAAAACCCACAGAGAATGTTTCGCTTCATTGTTAAAACACACTTTTATTTCATGGTTTACACATAAAATGTTATTTTAAAACGCAGCCATTGTCATTTTACAACTCCTTCAATAAGTTTCTTTTATGATGTCAAGGAACAGAATAATAAATAAAACCGTCCTTGTACGCATGTCTGTCTTCCTGGAGCGGCTCAGAAACAAACTCACTTCGCTCTGCCAGATGAAACACACAGACGTCCGGTCGCTAGTTGAATTATTCTCAAGTTGCTTCTAAAACAGAACCTCGCAGAAGAGGCCGATCCGTTGATGAAGGGCGCGGCAGAGGGATGACTCACATTTGTAGTTGCCTAGCTACGGCCGGGAGTTGTTTTCTTTTGGCTCGGAGTGTGAGGACGGCGTGTGTGTCTGGTTTCCATTGAGAGAGGAAGGCTTTGTGTGTGTGTGTGTGTGTGTGTGTGTGTGTGTGTGTGTGTGTGTGTGTGTGTGTGCGCGTGTGTGCGTGCGTGCATGTTTGTGTGTGCGTATGAGCTGAGTGAAATAATAAAAAAAATTTAAAAAAGCAATGGGTGCCACTGTACTGGGAGCAGGAGGAAGCAGAAATGCTTTGCAACGGCAGGAAGTGATGACATAAGGAAGGCAGTAGAGTTAGATTTTGTGAATTGAGGGGGAAAAGTGTGAAACCCCTGTGATTGGTAATCGTGGAAACATGCTAGCTCAGCTAAATACATGAGGAAATAGTTGTTGTTGAGTGAAAACTGTGGCTCAGATGATATTTAACCTTTAGAAAATTGCAGCTGTTCACGTTTACTGAATAATAAAACCAGAGTTTCCGCTTTACAGATGCGTAAAACTGATCCCGTACAGGTTTTATTAGTTGCTTGCTTGGCATACTCTCTTCATTTGGCTTTGGGCTGGCATTTACTCGTTTCATTTTACTCGTAAACTGAGTAGAAAGTAAGAGTTGAAAATATTTCAGTACATTTTCCACCACCCATGTCTCAGAGCATTGAGATTAAATGCTCGGAAAAAGTGAGAAAGATTTATTTGTGCTACATTTAAATGGTCCAGATTAATATAAACAACTGGGTGAAGGTCACACCAGTGTGTTTCAGATTTATTGTCAAATTTGACTAAGGCACATAAAAACCTTCATTTTGCATTTATTTGAGCCAATCAGAGGTGGGAGTATGGCTCCAGACTGTGTTTTTTGCTGAAATGTAGTTAATTTTACTCCAAACGTAACAGGACACACACCTTCCAGAAAGTGCCACATGTAATTACTGGTGTATTTATTTATTTTATTTTTTTACCATTCTTCTTGGCTCTCGTTTAATTTGGTTGGTTCCTTCACACAGACGTGGCTTTAGAAACTTGATGCTGGCCTGCTTTGTCCTTCCTAAAACTATCTTTAATCTGTGTTTGACACGGTTGTTCCACTAAAACACCCAACTTTCCTCCAGCGTTTAATTGTCTCACCTAAACGGTCACAACCCAGCAACCACTGAAGGAGAAGCCTGTCATCAAGTAGAAGACGATGGAAAACATATTTGTCTGTGGAAATCAAACAAGTTAACAGAGCGCTGCTACACTTCAGAAATTTGTTGATTGTTAAAAAAATAAAATAAACCTGCAACTTGTTGAAGGACATTTATCTGAATATAAGTGGTGTGAGCAGTGGCTGTGTTTGATATGGGTGGTTGCCCAGGGCGTCATTAAAAAGGGGAACAAGAACTAGAAAATAAAGAACAGCTTATCTGTCAGTTGTTCTCTGCTGCTTGAATACATGTGGAGTAATTTCATTTTGCTTCCTGCTGAGTGCTGGGATTCCAGTTTACAAAAAGAAAAAAAAAAGTATAATTTTTTGCGTTGTAATTGGTTGGGGGGGCAGCAGCAGGAGGGGCTCGCCCAGGGCACCAGTATTTTAGTGTTTACTAATAAACCAGCATCTTAAGGTTCTCATGTTGGGGTCTAACCCGACTCTACTATATAAAGAATCTCAGTTTGTCACTCCATCCCTTGATGTTGCTAGAAGTCCTTTTATTGGTTGATAAACCTTTAAGAACGACTCGCTGACCTGCTGTTCCCTTCACAGGCATGAGCTCATTGGAGGTGTGGGAAAAAAGGCTGTTTTGTTGTGTGGGTTGTGCTGTGTCCAGCTCCAGTGGTTAGCAATGTGTTTGTACCTGAACCGGAGCCACATCTCAATAATCCTCGGCTGGTTAGGAATGAGAAATGACTCCCTTCCTGTTGAGCAGTGTGAAGCGTAGAATACGAAAATATGCATCCATTGTCTGGGAAAAGGAAGCTGGTAATAACCGCACTGCTAAGCAACGGAAACAAAAAAATAAGGAATGGAAACTGTGAAGTTTGTGTTTTTCATCAATGTCTATGGTGACTTGTCCAGAGAAGATAAAGCTGATATGGTGGATTGGTAAAGTGACAACATAGAGAATAAATTAAATATAGTAAATAAAAGGTTTTTTTTTCTCTAAAACCCCTAAAAAAATCTGAAGTAATTAGAAAATAGAGTCCAACAATCCTAAACATCCAGGCAGAACTACAGTGGAATAGTTTTGATCAAATTATAGTAAAATGTTAGAATGGCCCAGTCAAAGCCCAGAACTTAAAGGAGATCTGTTAGCTTTCCTTTTGTAAGAAGTCAGAATAAGTCTGTGTGATACACAAAACATGTTTACTACATTTCTTGCACAAAATCATTCTCACAAAATAGACTCTGTTCTGCCTATCTTTAGCCCTTTGTTTCAGGACTCTTGTCACTTTTATGCAAATGAGCTGCTTCTGGCCACGGCCTGAAACTATTCACCAACACTCTACACACGTGAAAATAGCTGCAACCACATGTGCAACCCTACATCTTCAACCCTGCAGTTACATGTTGTTCCTTCCAGTCCATAATAAAACCCCAGCTGACCAAACACACTCGTGGTTTAGCAACGAAGTGGGCGGAGCTCTGTTTGGGTTGCTAGGCGAGGGGCAGCGCCCGCTGACTGTGATGTCAGTATTAAGAGATTTCTGACAGCAAATAACAGTAAACGATTACTAGAGAGTTCATGAATGGGTTTTTTTTAGCACTTGCACTATTTCTAGAAGAAGTGGACACAGTGGGGCCCCTAAGAGGGGTGGTAAAGGGGCCCACCCCTCCCCCCACTGGAAAAGTGCTGACCAATCATGCTCATATAACAAAAAGGCACACAGTCAACTTCTTCAGTGAGGACATAAATGTAAAACATATTAAAAAAAAAACTAGCAGCTGTAATTGGTTTTACAACGCACCGACTCACTAGGGCTGAAACCAAATGCACACCACACTTTTCAGATTGCTATGTTGTTGTTTTGTTGTAATCATGGACTGTTTTGTGTCAACCTGACATGAAATCCATAAAATACATTAGAGTTTACAGATAAAGAGACAAAATGGGGAAAAAAATTCAAGGTGTTTTTTTTTTTTTTTTTTTTAAAGATTTTTGTCCACCACCAAGAAGTTTATCACCAAAACCAGCCTGGTGACACCAGAAAGAAAAATCCTGACTCTTTTTTTTTTTTTTTTTTTTTTAGTTGCTCAACAGCCTCAGGTCAGGTGTGAGTTGCAACACTAACTCTTACCTCCCCTCCTTTTGTGTGATCTGCCTCATTCAGAGAAGTATTTCACCTACAATCCCTCCTCCTCCCTGTAAATCCTGTAAATGAGCCCGAGGGTTGTTTTCTTTAAAAAAAAAAAAAAAAAAAAAGGGAAGAAATCTCAGGGCAAGGTACGACGTTGTGCAAAACGGCAAAGGAATGAGACGGCCGACCACAGACTGCAGAGATTTGCGATTGTGCAAAAAGAAAAGGCGGGCAGTGACTTGGCAGCCGGCTTCTGGCTTTTGTTTTGAAATACTCCAAACTCCTCTCTTACACACACCTTTCATTTTGGGGGGGATTTGGGCATTACTCAACCATAAGGAGCAGAGCGCTGTGTTTGTTTAGATCCATCT